ATTAATCAGGGGAACATTTGAAAAATTTACAGAGGATTATGATAATAGCTCGATCTCTATGAAATACAGGGGAAAAATTTAAAAATGTTAACAGAAGATTAGATTTAAATAAACAGCAAAGTGCCAAATTAATCATGGGGAACATTCTGAAAAATTTAACACAGGATTAGGATTAATAGCTCGATCTCCATGAAATACAGGGGAAGAATTTAAAAAGGTTAACAGAAGATTAGATTTAAATAAATAGCAAAGGGCAAATTAATTAGAGGAACATTTTGAAAAATTTAACAGAGGATTAGGATTAATAGCTCGATCTCCATGAAATACAGGGGAAAAATTTAAAAAAGTTAACAGAAGATTAGATTTAAATAAACAGCAAAGGGCAAATTAATCAGGGGAACATTTTGAAAATTTAACAGAGGATTAGGATTTATAGTTCGATCTCCATGAAATACAGGGGAAAAATTTAAAAAGGTTAACAAAAGATTAGATTTAAATAAACAGCAAATGGCAAATTAATCAGGGGAACATTTTGAAAAATTTAACAGAGAATTAGGATTAATAGCTCGATCTCCATGAAATACAGGGGAATAATTTAAAAAGGTTAACAAAAGATTAGATTTAAATAAACAGCAAATGACAAATTAATCAGAGCAACATTTTAAAAAATTAACAGAGGATTAGGATTAATAGCTCGATCTCCATGAAATACATGAGAAGAATTTAAAAAGATTAACAGAAAATTATATTTAAATAAACAGCAAAGGGCAAATTAATCAGGGGAACATTTTGAAAAATTTAACAGAGGATTAGGATAAATAGCTCATCTCTATGAAATACAAGGGAAGAATTTAAAAAGGTTAACAGAAGATTAGATTTAAATAAACAACAAAGGGTAAATTAATCAGAGGAACATTTTGAAAAATTTAACAGAGGATTAGGATTAATAGCTTGATCTCCATGAAATACAGGGGAAGAATTTAAAAAGGTTAACAGAAGATTAGATTTAAATAAACAGCAAAGGGCAAATTAATCAGGGGAACATTTTGAAAAATTTAAGAGAGGATTATGATTAATAGCTCGATCTCCACGAAATACAGGGGAATAATTTAAAAAGGTTAACAGAAGATTATATTTAAATAAACAGCAAAGGGCAAATTAATCAGCGGAACATTTTGAAAAATTTAAGAGAGGATTAGGATTAATAGATCGATCTCCATGAAATACATGGGAAGAATTTAAAAAGGTTAACAGAAGATTGGATTTAAATAAACAGCAAAGGGCAAATTAATCAGGGGAACATTTTGAAAAATTTAAGAGAGGATTATGATTAATAGCTCGATCTCCATGAAATACAGGGGAAGAATTTAAAAAGGTTAACAGAAGATTATATTTAAATAAACAGCAAAGGGCAAATTAATGAGGGGGACATTTTGAAAAATTTAAGAGAGGATTATGATTAATAGCTCGATCTCCATGAAATACAGGGGAAGAATTTAAAAAGGTTAACAGAAGATTAGATTTAAATAAACAGCAAAGGGCAAATTAATCAGGGGAACATTTTGAAAAAAATAACAAAGGATTAGGATTAATAGCTCGATCTCCATGAAATACAGGGGAAGAATTTAAAAAGGTTAACAGAAGATTAGATTTAAATAAATAGCAAAGGGCAAATTAATTAGAGGAACATTTTGAAAAATTTAACAGAGGATTAGGATTAATAGCTCGATCTCCATGAAATACAGGGGAAAAATTTAAAAAAGTTAACAGAAGATTAGATTTAAATAAACAGCAAAGGGCAAATTAATCAGGGGAACATTTTGAAAATTTAACAGAGGATTAGGATTTATAGTTCGATCTCCATGAAATACAGGGGAAAAATTTAAAAAGGTTAACAAAAGATTAGATTTAAATAAACAGCAAATGGCAAATTAATCAGGGGAACATTTTGAAAAATTTAACAGAGAATTAGGATTAATAGCTCGATCTCCATGAAATACAGGGGAATAATTTAAAAAGGTTAACAAAAGATTAGATTTAAATAAACAGCAAATGACAAATTAATCAGAGCAACATTTTAAAAAATTAACAGAGGATTAGGATTAATAGCTCGATCTCCATGAAATACATGAGAAGAATTTAAAAAGATTAACAGAAAATTATATTTAAATAAACAGCAAAGGGCAAATTAATCAGGGGAACATTTTGAAAAATTTAACAGAGGATTAGGATAAATAGCTCATCTCTATGAAATACAAGGGAAGAATTTAAAAAGGTTAACAGAAGATTAGATTTAAATAAACAACAAAGGGTAAATTAATCAGAGGAACATTTTGAAAAATTTAACAGAGGATTAGGATTAATAGCTTGATCTCCATGAAATACAGGGGAATAATTTAAAAAGGTTAACAGAAGATTAGATTTAAATAAACAACAAAGGGCAAATTAATCAGGGGGACATTTTGAAAAATTTAACAGAGGATTAAGATTAATAGCTCGATCTCCATGAAATACAGGGGAATAGTTTAAAAAGGTTAACATAAGATTAGATTTAAATAAACAGCAAAGGGCAAATTAATCAGGGGAACATTTTGAAAATTTTAACAGAAGATTAGGATTAATAGCTCGATCTCGCATGAAATACATGGGCAAGAGTTTGAAAAGGTTAACAGAAGATTATATTTAAATAAACATCAAAGGGCAAATTAATCAGGGGAACAATTTGAAAAATTTAACAGAGGATTAGGATTAATAGCTCGATCTCCATGAAATATAGGGGAATAATTTAAAAAGGTTAACAGAAGATTAGATTTAAATAAACAGCAAAGGCCAAATTAATTTGGGGAACATTTTGAAAAATTTAACAAAGGATTAGGATTAATAGCTCGATCTCCATGAAATAGAGGGGAAGAATTTAAAAAGGTTAACAGAAGATTAGATTTAAATAAACAGCAAATGACAAATTACTCAGGGGAACATTTTGAAAAATTAACAGAGGATTAGGATTAATAGCTCGATCTCCATGAAATACATGGGAGTAATTTAAAAAAGTTAACAGAAGATTAGATTCAAATAAACAGCAAAGGGCAAATTAATCAGGGGAACATTTTGAAAAATTTAACAGAGGATTATGATTAATAGCTCGATCTCCATGAAATACATGGGAAGAATTTAATAAGGTTAACAGAAGATTAGATTTAAATAAACAGCAAAAGACAAATTAATCAGGGGAACATTTTGAAAAATTTAACAGAGGATTATGATTAATAACTCGATCTCCATGAAATACATGGGAAGAATTTAAAAAGATCAACAGAAGATTAGATTTAAATAAACAGCAAAGGGCAAATTAATCAGGGGAACATTTTGAAAAATTTAACAGAGGATTAGGATTAATAGCTCTTAAAAAACGGGCATATACATACATCAGAGAAGAAGACCAGTTTGCAAGAGAAAACTCTCAATAGAACATGTAAAAGCACAATCAATAGAACAGTTCACCTTCCAAGCAGCTTTCACAGAGTAGTCAACTTTCATGGCAGCATATCGGATCAAGGTTCTGAAAGAAGGCATGTTGTTTTCCCCATCAGAGCCGGCCTTGGGGGTAAGCGAGGGAAGCCTTGGCTTAGGGCCCCACCTTACAAGGGGACCCCACAATTTTTTTCATAAACCACTATATGGCCCCAATAATTAGTTATATAGCACATTTTAGTCCTTCAATATTTTATTAGATCTTTTAAACCATATGTTAATGGAATATTTTATAATCTCAACTATTCAAAAAATATAAAAAGAGACCAATTTATATATTGCGTTTCGTAGATAATATTGTTTATATATTAATTATATAATTACTTATAGTATGTTATTAATATCCAAATGTATATGCCAATTTTTTTAAGATTATAATTAAATCTTAAACCAGACATCAATATCACAAAAAGATTGAAACGAACTGCTGTCGGTTGAGATGAACAATATATGTACTTTTAATAATTTTGATCAACGATTGTTTTTTTCCTCCTCGTAATGTGTCGTTTATGCATGAAATAGATGCATATATCATTATGTCATCAAATGTTTTTACAATGCCAACAACATTAAGGTTCGTATTTGATATATTTCAAATTTATATTGTTATTGTCAATAAAAGAGAAAAAAAGTTTGTTTATTAAATAAGATATCTGTTAAAAATGTGTACCAATAACAATATAATTTGGGAAAATGAGTGATACCCCCCTTGTTTTGAAAATATATATGAGGAGGTCCAATAAATTTTTTTCTCCTAGTCAAAAACCCAAATCCTGATCTTAATTAGTGAGACCCCCCTAGACAATTTAAAATACCTATTTTGCCCTTTTAATTTAAATTCAATATATACCCTAACCCTAACATTCTCTCTCTCATCAAACCCACAATCGCCGTTACATCACTCTCATCATCTCTCCTTCTCTATCTCTCTCGTTCACTCTTTTCTTTCTTCGAAATTAATCTCCACCAAATCTGAAAATAACATGGGAGGCGGCGCGATGAGAGCAGCGACGAAGGTTGCGGGAATCATGGTGGAGAACGGCGGTCTGCGTAGCTTCACATCGTCAGAGCACCACCCGTTCTTCTCCCCCACCCGATCGAAAATTTCTTCCTGCGTCGGCTGAAGACGTGAAGCGGCGGCGGCGGCAGCCTTGAAGAAGCCGAAGGTCGGCAAGAAGATAACGCCTGCAAAGAGAATCGTCGAACGGAGATCGACGACGATTACGAGAACGCGATCCATATTCCGCCGCACGGGATCCCGTTCCAGGTAGACAACTACCCCTGGTGATAATCTAGCCGTACGTCTTTTTTCTTCATATTTTATTAATTTATTATTTTCTCTGAATTTTTCTGTTCCAATTGTTCAATATATATATTAATAAAATGAATGCAGAGGAAAACTGGAGAGAGAAAGATGATTTTGAGAGGGTATGCTCATAAACCCACCCTCTTTGTTCAATGTGTTTATTAATAAAATGAATGCAATAAAGGAAAAATGGAGAGAGAAAGATGATTTTGAGAAAGATGGTTTTAATTTTATTAATAATTTCAGTTGTATTGTGTTTGATTATTTTCTTTTCCTGTAATCAAGTTCTTGGTGAATTGTTTGGAAAATGGATATTGGGGCAAAAAAAGGTACATGACTACATGTAATTATTAGGGTAAGTAGCAGTTTACTGGCTTCTCTTGTTATTTATGTTGTAAGATTGAGTTCATAAAGTTTCATGTTGCTATGATCTGACTGTGTTCATTGTGCTTTTGTTGAGTTGTAATGCAGGGTGATGAAATTGTATATGAAGCTACAGTGGAGGAAGCTAGTAGGTTTGTTTTGATTTACGACATTCGTTTCAGGATTTTATCAACCGAAGTATCATGAAGAGAAATAGAAATTCTAATAATGCTCTCTTTCTAGTAATGCAGTCCACTGTTCAATAAGAAAGTTGTGCTTCGGCGACTGGTTAGCAATCAGGCGCAACGTAGGGGAAGAAGGGCAATAGAGGTATGCTAAGTTGACACATTAGTAAGTTACATTTTGAAAATGGTGATATATTGTCCGACTTTGATGTCTTCTTGGTGAAAGGTATTGAAAAGACTGGCTCACCGTAGAGTAATGTACTATTCTTACTCGGTTCAAGTTCATGGCTATATATGTTCATCCACAAATGATGACAGTGGTTCATTTACTCTAGTACATGGTGTAAGTTTATCTTTCTCAAAAAGTCAATCTAGAGGGGTGCTCCCGTTTTCATTTATTCTGTTAGTTAATGTGCTAATGATTTCATATTTCCAAGATGATTGAGGGTTTGAATTATTTTTATGTTTAGTATCATGGCAATTCTTCTTTGAGACATTGGCTTCAACAAGCAGATTGACTACCAACTCTAGAAGCTACTCTCGTGTTGGATGAGGAGTCTGTCAGGCGAGTCGGTGATGATACAGTGGGAGGACCGGCAGTTTCTCGACAATTACGTCTTTTTCGAAACTTGGCTGTACTTGTTTCAGTGTAGGAGAGATTTGCGTTATCAAGTCATATATAGTCACACGTGGTCATATACATATAGTCATATTTAGTCACGTGTAGTCATATACATGTAGTCATATATAGTCACGTGTAGTCATATACATGTAGTCATATATAGTCATGTGTAGTTATATACATGTAGTCATATATAGTCACGTGTAGTAACTCGTAGTAATATATTGTTATATATAAGCTATATAAGTTATGTGTTTTTTCTGATGTATAGTGATGTTGATGATTGTGTTTTTCCAATTTTTTGTTGGGTATTAATTGATTTATAATATCAAGATTAAATTGTGAATTTTTGATTTTGGTGTACATGAAGTTTTTTTTATATAATCATATGTAATATATATACAATAGTCATGTATAGTCAATTTCAATACAGTAAATTTATCAAAATATTAAAACAAAATTAAAAGTTAAAAATTAAAAAAAAAATATAAAAATTAAAAAATTAAAAAAATTAAAAATTACAAAAAATTAAACAATTTTAAAAAATTAAAAATACAAGAGAGGTATATATAAAAAATAATAATAAAATAAACATTTATAATTTTTTATTAAAAAAATCTGATAATATGATAAATGCAGGTCTAAATGTTAATTGCAGTTGATCATAATGTTGAATGCAGTTAGTAAAAATACTGAATGCAGTTGGGCAAAAATTAGATATAAGGGCACAATAGTACTTTTGCCTCTCTAGGGGTTATCTCAAAGGAAGAATTTTAGGGGTGGACCTATCCCTATATATTTTCCATATTAAGGGTGTATATCAAATGGACCCATATAATTTAGATACTATTTAAAAGAACCAAAGCATAATGTTAAACTCCGCTTAGGGCCTCCAAATTCTCAGGACCGACTCTGTTCCCCATGCAGCTGGAAATTCTCTTGTCTCTTCTCTCTCTTCTCTCTTCTCTCTCTGTGTATGTATATATAATTATAGATATATGAATATGTTCTGAGTGATGGTTTGTTTCATATAAAACAAAAATTTCAGCCCGAGCGAGCACGTACACCGTGCCCCTGCAGTGCGGAACGTCTATTTCTTTTTAATTCGGTACCTAGCTTATTAGTGCAATATGCATTACCATACTAATTTAATAGCTTATATTATTCATTTTATTTTTTAATTACGTATTATTCAGTTCTGATCGTACGTACACATTTTTATGGGCGTTGAGTTTGCAGTCCAAATAATATTTATTTGGACTAATATATAAATGCTAAAAAGATTTTCACGCTCAATTTATGTTAACCATTAAAATTGACGGACAAATAATATTTAGCGATTTATTGTGCCAATATCCCTATTTGAAGTTTTTATATCATTTCTTGCGAATTGCGATCGAATTATGTTTGTGATTGTGTGGGAATTGAAAACTTGATCAATGACAAATATGGTTAAAATTAAAGAGAGGACAAAACAAATGAAACAAGGGCATGGCAGGTCAACCATGAACCTCGCCGGAATTACGTCCACCGGAACCGGAGAAGAAAGTCAGCGAGTACACATCACTTGATTCAGTTCTCCGGTTTAATTTGTACGGACGTGTTAAGGGAATCCTCCGATCGCCACCCGAAGAAGAGCTGTCCGGCGACACCCTTGACGGCGGAGGAAACCCGTTGACGTGGTGGAAAAACGCGGCGGAGAATCTAGGTGATGATGATCGCTGTGAAATGCAGTTACGATGCTGGCAGTGGAAGAGGAGAGAGAAACACAGTGGAAGACGACAGAAGTAAATAACTAAAAGTTCAAACTCACCAAATTTGCCAAGCTCGGGCTCGAGCTCGTTACACGATAATTTTTTATTCACCCACTAAAAACTAACAAGACACGACACCGGAGTGTAGGCTGGTTACTTTCGACGGTAATCAACATAAAACAATCGAAAACAAACCAGATACAATAGTCGAGTATATATTATCTACAATTTATTGTCAATACATGCAAAAACATATGTTCAGCAGCGAACGTCGAATCCCTTACACCATTCACACCATTCGCGCAAAACTCGCTTTTTCAAACGGAACAAAAACAACAGAAGCATCAAAGTGCGGAGCAACTGGAAAATGGTTTTTTTTTCTTTTTTTTTTTTTTTTTTTCTTTTCGTTTTGGCAAATGAATCACTTGTTAATGAACATAAAGATAGGCACACTTGGCCTGCTTTTATACCTATAGAAAGCCTTCTTCTTTGCATATGATCCATTAACCACAGTTATGACAATCTTCCCCGGTTCTCTGATATAAAACGAGTTTCTGATGCTCTCTCCCATTTTCTTGTCCTGAAGCAATATCTTGTACGAGCAGTCGTCGTCTGGTATAAACTCCTCTCTGTATGCCACCTCATATCCAACCACAGTCACATCCCAGGTCACTGTAACCCCTGCCTGTAATAACTCACGTTGTAACAGACAACGTATATTATTCGCATGTTATTTAAACAAATTTACGCGGTTTGAGTTCACTCACATACCTCGAGAGTAGGTATCTCAATGTAACCAGTGGCATTTGCTCTGATATTCACTTCAAGAACTTTGTCGTCTGTCGAGAACTCAGTGTCGTTTTCTCTCTTCAGGCCACCGTATTGAACCAGTATGTTCTCTGCTGTGGCGTACCTGCGTTGTGAACGGAAAAAATAACAGCATTCGAAGATTATGAAAATAGCAAAAGAAGATCGATATTTTAGGCAATTATTATTGAAGATCGAACTTTACTTGAGAAGGGTTTCTGTGACTTTCGATGGCTTCACAAAAATAAATTTGTTCCTGCTCTTTTGTGTGATGAGTCGAAGATTCAATGTGTTGAGAGCCAAGAACCATGATGGGACATTTATGATTAACTGTATCCAAAAAAAAAAATCATCAATCGTCAATCGTCAATAACAATCTCGTTTTGTCAACTCGAAAACAGAATCGCGTAATTAACATACATTCTTGTAGACAAGGCCTGGATAATGATCATGAACCAAGGTCATCATCTTATTGTAGATCAACCGAACCTCCTTCTTCGCAGGTCCAGTAGCATTCTTCAGATCAATGATTTGGATAATCGAATCGGTCCCACCTGGTCTAAAATTGAGATTTTGAATCGCCTTCTCGACACTTAGAACCCTCCATCTCAAATAATCCCTGCATTTCAGATCATCGCCCGCGCTCAATAATTTCTTCTGAGATTCATTACCCAACATAGTGTAGCAAAGGGGGCGCCCCTCTTTATCCTTGCCACTGGAGAACCACAAACTGTCAATCTCGGGCCTCAATTCCTCGAGATTTTCATCGGGCCGAAACTCGGCCCGCCATTTAAGGGTTCTTCGGAGCAACGTGAAGGCCTCGTGCACCTTGTAACGTTTGGCTTTCAAGAACTTCATCAGAACAATGTCCGTCCCCTCGTGCCCTTCTTTAGGCAGCAAAGGGACACCCCACAATTTGATGCTCAATTCGTCATTTTTGATGTTTTCGTTGGGCGGATTTCTCTTGGACCTTTTCACAAGCAGGTAGTGCCCAAGGATGGCTTGCTCCACCCTGAAACGGAATTCGGTCAGGGCCTTGTTTCTCGATTTTTTCAATTCGACCGGATCGCATTCCGCCTCTTCTTCTTCCTCCTCCTCGGTTTCTGGGTCGCTTGGATCGTCAATGGGCTTATCTTCCAGCATATTTGTCGCCGGGTTTGGAGCTCCGGCCGGGGAAGATTTCACCCGCCGGTAACCCTAGACTCAAAAAGAGTTCCGATTGATTTTGTTGGGGGAGATGGTAGTAATCCAAAAGAAAGATTTTTTTTTTTTTTTTTTTCTGGTCAATTGAAATCTGTTCTCTCCCCCCACCGCAGAATGGTAAACGAGAATACAAAAAAGTGGTGGTGTTGGTTTTGAGGGATTTCCTGGAATAGAATAGACGGCTCTCAGTTACAACCGTTAGTTTGGGTGGCGCCAGTTAGAGATTTTAACGGAATTGTTCTGTTTAACGGATGGAGAAAGGTCAATGACCTAACGTTTTGACACCTGGCAGTGGAGAAGCATTAATGGCTGTTAGAGAAGCATTAATTATATTTAGGGATACTAAACCCTTTATTTCTTTTTTAAGCAATGTTTAATGTAAACGCACACTAATTAAGAATAATTATTAAACAAATCTTGATTTTAGGGGTCAAAAATCATTACTTGAAAATTACATGTTTGTGACTTCACCACCATGTACCACACCAAAAAAAATAAAAAAAAAGTACACAGTAAATTAGTAGACTTGATTGCAGAACAAGATTCAGTTTATTTGTCCAGAAAACACACACACACACACACACACACACACACACACACACACTCATTTATGCAAGAACAAAACTTTTCACATATATTACAACCTAAGTACCTAACACAGAGCGCACATGCATATGCAAGAAAGATCATCCCTCTAACAGTTAGAACCAGTTCTAGAATGCACACGGGCCGACTACTAAGATTTCGGTCACCGCTCTCTTCTCGGTCAACTCGGATTACTGTGTGTAATTTCGACTCTGCAATGGCAAAGTCGCTTCATTTGCGATATTAGAATCATCATAGACTTCTTCTCCTCCTGCATTGTGGTTCTTTGATTCGGAAGCAGCTGCCAGCTCAGCATATCTGGAAATGACGAGCTGAAGCTCGTCGTGCAGATTTAAAGCATCGAAAAGCATCACTTCATCATCCGACGTAGTTTCCACGATTCTCTGGACAATAGGAAGAGACCGCTTGCACTTTGCTAGTATACCTATTGTCAGATCATCCTGCAAAAGATTTAATTTTTAAGGAATTAAAAATTAAACCTTGAGTTATTACGGAAAAGCTTGAGGAGTGAAAACAAACCTTCAAGGGTTTTGGTTCAATGTCGGAATTTAATATGCTGGTGAGAATATCGAGGCTGTTTCGAGCCACGGCAAGATGCTCTGTTTTCTCTTCGATAGAATTGAAACCGTAACGAACGAAAGTGGAGGCATTTCCTTCTTGGTTTTGTGCAGTAGTAGTACTAGTGTCGGGAACCGGATATCTATCTGGAGGTGATATTAGTTGCTGTTGACCAAGGTAAGACTCTAGATTGTAATGCACATCGGGGTAATTTTCTTCTTGTTCCGCCCGAGGAATTTCTTTCGTACTCAAGTGCTGCCAAAAAATTAGTCACAAATTAGATCTGCATTAAATACGGGTGTAAAGTGAATTTTTATCGAACTTCCAAAGTAATGTTAAGAAATATTGAACGAGATTTAATCAAAACGAACACGAATCGGGTTTTTTTTTGTATTTCTAATCGAGAATAATGTGTAAGCTCTGTAAACGAATCAAGCTGAAACGAGGTTTTTTTTATTAACGAACGATGGAGTAAGTAGTTTGATTTTCAGTACTAACTAACTACATAATAAACAAGATACACACGATTAAATTTTCCAATTTTAAGGAGATCATATATTCACATGATCATGAAATGATTAAGAAAAATAATATACCGAATAATTGTTTTTAATTAAGTAATTAACAGATTAACAGGAGCAATTAAAAAATAAAAATGACTGACCATATAAGTTTGATGAAAGACAGGCAAATATTGGAGATCCGTGGACTCGCCCCAGGACCGGATCAGCTGCATCGCCCTCACCCTATTACCGTGGTCCGTCCTCGAATCCTCAATCAGCTTCACCATATCATCCAGCACCTTCTCCGACGCCACCTCCGAGAACACCTTCTCGCAATTCGAGGTGCACGCCTCCAGCAGATCGAGGCTCAAACCCTGGGTCGCCGGATTCCTGCCGCCGGGTGCCAGCTTCCTCCTGATCGCCCTGACGATCTCGGCGCCGTCGTACTCGCCGCGGCTGATCATGGCGCAGATGCGGAGGTTGAGTCCCCAATTCGGCTCGGCTAGGGTTTCGGCGGTGGCCTCGTCGACGATTTTGGACTCCGGCGTGGGGGCTGCCAGGATTTCCTTCATTTTGGAGCTGATCGTGCGGCCCACCTGCGCGCCGCTCGTCTTTATCCTCTCGCCTATGGACGACGACGCCATCTTCAATTTGGACAAATCCAATTTCTCCATTGATTTTTCCTTTTTCTCTCTCTCTCTCTCTCTCTCTCTCTCTCTCTCTTCTTCTTCTTCTATTTTATTTCTGTGATGAGGTTTGGTGTTTTCGAGAAGAAGACGACGGCAGGATTTAGTGACTGAGATACACGTGGCGTCTATTTTCCTTGTAGGGACCTGTATCTAAATTATAATAATATACTATTTGGTCAAAATTATGGATTAGATTCTTTATTCTTTCTAAACCAAATTCGATTATCACCCTAAAACGTTTGTCTAATTACAAAAAGCACATATTATTTAAAACAACTTTTCATAACTGCCCTTTAAATACATATTGTAACAGAAAAGTCCCACTTTCCACCCCAAAAAGTACTTTTCAAAATAAAAATAATAAAAAAGCACAAATATTTATTATCAAATATAATTAATCCAGTTAAATTTTCAATAAATTTAATGTACTACAAACTCAACAATTGAAAATTGAAATCGAGTGGTGAAAGTACAACACACGTAGTGCAAGAGTTAGTTGTACCTTTGCACATTACATAAAGAAGCAAATTAGAAACAATTTCAAGGGTTTAAGCGAAGAAGAAGAAGAAGTGCAGCAGTACTTGAAAATTATAAAACCTTAAAACCAGGTTCGACAATGGTTGCCCTCTCAACCTGGTTCCGCTACATTTCCAACAAATTCGATTACTCTCTCTGTCTCAGCGGAAAGGTAAATCCCCTTTTACTTTGTAATCATTTCTTCATTTTTTTTCTAGGGTTTTTCGTGTTTGTGCGTATTCCATTTATTGAAGATTCCAGCGTGTGGGCTTTTCTGATTTTAGGATGTTTGTGTTGGATTTTGGGTGGATTTCTTTGGATTCGTCTGTTAATTTGATCCGTGCTTGTTTAAAGATCAATTTTTTTGGTTACTTGTCTAAATATTTCAAAATTGAAGAAAGCTATATTCTTGATTTTTTGGGGATGCTCAATCTGTGAATAGAAAATTGAAGTACAGAAACTACATTATTTACCTATCCCTACAATTTCCAGCAAAATGAGGTTTTCAGCTAGAGAGAACGATAGAGAAGCCAATTCGCTTATTAGGGTTTGTCTCTGATTTGTGCCGATACAGAACCATGGGGGTTATGTTTGGTGACCAATGTCAGTTGCCTATCTTTAGACGATGATGTTAAAATCGAACGAGCCCAAAACAATCCTTATGATTTTTCAAACTCTTGTGATTTTTCAAGACTCGAGCTATGCATGTTTAAATCACAATCGTTATTCTCTGTCACAGTTAGGAGTTGTTTCTATTAGATTTTTGTGGAGGAGTTTCTTATATCGTAGTTCTCGTGAATTTTCCCCGTCATATTCCAAAACAATCTACTTTTAACCATTTTGTTTCGGTGACATACGATAAACTAAAGGGAATCTTGTAATGTGATTGCAGACCTATATAAACGGTAAAGTTGCAGATGCTGAAATTATTCATGCGATATGGAGAAATTTTCTCCACGGAAGGTTGACTTTCTTGCATTGGAATAAAGGAGAAGAAATGGCTCCATTAATCGGGCCTCATGGTGGAACTCTTCTAGTTAGGAAACTACCAGTCCCAGATCCCACGTATGTTTTTCACCCGATCAAAAAAAATTATTTTGCAACATTAAAACAATATTATTTCCTAAGCTTATTTATTTACTCTAATGTTTTGTGGTATAGGAGAGTTCGCATTGGAGATGTGGTAGTGCTAAAGGACCCTTTAAACTCTAGCAATTTTCTTGTACGAAGATTAGCTGCCATCGAAGGATACGAGATGGCATCTACAGATGAAAAGGAGGAATCTTTTGTCCTCGAAAAGGAACATTGTTGGGTAGTATCTGACAATAATAATCTAAAGACTAAGGTATATGCTTTTTTTATTTGGTTAAAATCAAATCTTGATTTTATAACTCTTTTTTGGATTGTTACCGGCATTCAATATTTGCAGGAAGCTTATGATAGTCGAACATTTGGGCCCGTTAACATGATAGACATAGTTGGGCGGGCAATATATTGTCTGAGAAATGCGGTGGATCATGGCCCTGTAAATAATAGGTAAGTTTTTTTAAGGCTATTATATTAAGTCGTGATTGACAATGATTCTATTAATGATAATTCATTTTTGTATTGGGACAGCGATATTAGCACTAAACAGGATTTACCTGTCATAGAAGTCGAACTAGATGTTGACGAGATGGCAAAAAATCATAAAGCATCGTAAGAAATGTTGTGATCTATTATTCTTGTTGACCAGAATTTTAACGCGCTGAATAAATGGGAGGCTGATTGATCCAAGCCGTCGGATTTTCGACCAGTAGCCCTCGTTGCTCTGAGATTATTTATCGTCCACTTGAGAAAAATTTTAGTTCTGTATTTTTATTTTTTATTTATATTAAATGTTGGACAAAAATTTGTATCAGCATCAACTTCAATTCCATCAGAGTGTTCATCATCTGTAAGCCGAAATTCCCTCTGACTGTATTTTGCAAATTGTTTCTTGGCAAGTTATTATTATTAGATTAGTTTAAATTAGTTTCTATTATTCTCAATTAATAGCTTTTCAATCAATTTGGCATAAGCTCAAACGGTGCCGTTTTAGTTTTTACAATACTGAAAATTAAATAAGTAGGTAATTTCGTTACAAGGTGAATATATATGCTAATGAAAATAATAATTGGACACTTGTTTGAAATTCATAAATAAAAAGCATCAAATAATTTATATAAAATCAATTTAAATTAAAATTTTTTTTAGAGAAGTAAAATAATTTAAATCAATTGTAACATCATATAAAAATAAAATAAAACCAACCTAATAATATTATAAGTGTTTTTATGGGCGGGTTTGGGTCATCTCCACTAAATGGGTAAAATAACAGCCCTGAGACATGTTCGGGTTACGGGGAATAAAAAGCCCAGTTAAAATGAAATTCGGGTCGGGTTGAACCCGGATTAGATGGTTTGGAGCGGGGTACCAAATACCAATACACTTTATTTTATTTTGCCTAAACGGCTAAACCCACCGAACCGCCATTGAAGAACTCGCACCGCAGTTTTCAAGCATGTCGCGCTCAATGCATTTCATTTCCAAAACCATTCCTGGTAAATTTTTGATATTTATATATATACACACACACATATGTATGTATATGTGTATCGAGGTTTGTGCTTATCTCCGAATGATATATGCTATTTGTTTCTTTAGAAACTACGGCAATATATGTTTGTTTCACTGTAGAGTTTCTTCAAAGTTTGCTGCAAATTTTATCAGGGGAAGAACTGAATTGACTACCTGAGTATCAGCTGATAACTACTCTTAATTTCAAAAAAAAAAATTAAAATTAAAAAGAAATCTGAAACTGGTTTCAGTCGAGCTGCTGTTTATGTTGGAATTCGTGAAATTTCTGACCTTGCTAGTACAGTTGCTGTTTATGTATAATCAGATATTATTGAATTTGAATTTGTCTCAACTCTCTGTTTAGATTGTTATTTTAATGTTTTCAAACTCGGTTTTACTGAAGAAGGTAAGGGCATGAAAGGGGGTTGGTTACCTAGGGGTGAGGCCGAAGAGATGTTGCGGTAGCTATGAATTGATGATAGATGTAGATGTCGATCGGTACACAAAACAGATGGTGTAAAAATACCCTTCCTTATCTTCTTGCTATTATGATGATTTGTCAAGAGCTTTGTGAATTGTGTTGTCGGTTGGAGTTGCCTTTCTGGTTGTGACTCGAACTCGATCAAGTCTCGAATGTTAGTAATTCCGGCAAAAATGTTTTAAATTTTGTGAGGTCGTTTGGTTTCTAGAACCCCTTGGTTAAGGATCTAGCGTATGGCTTATCGTTTCTTGGCCTTCTCCCCCTTTTCTCAGGCTGTGGTAAAATAATTTTGTATTTATCTTGATGATATTTCAAGGGAAAATCAGGAATTAGAAGATAAAGTCGGGTTATAAGAAGTGAACCACCGACTATATCAAGAAATTGAGAGAATTCTTGAATGATTGCTGATATCGGGCTTTGATATTATTACAATCTTCATGTTTGAGATACCGTGAGCTGCCACTTATATCTGATTAAGGTTACTGATCTGCCATTGAGAAACTTTTATGTTAAACTCCATCTCTGAATCACCCGATTTTGCTGTTTTCTTACCGAAAATTGTCTCCACTGCATCCCCGTGAGTCGTGCCAATGCTTATATTTATTAGAAGTATCCGAACAATGTTTTTGACATTCTTTCTAATTTCACGGCAGGGTGTGGCCCACCCGATGGGATATGTCTTCCCTGCTCAGGATCTTCGGGAAGAGCACTGAGCATGCCACACAACTCTTCTCGTAGCGACTACAAACTCAGTTCCGACGTGAAATTCCTATCTGTGAGATGTGCGTCTCGGTACACATCCACTGTGTGCAACGCAAACCACAGCAATTACAGGAGAAACTCGGACTTCTCGAAGCAAAACAAGCAGGGGTTCTCCCGCAACAGAAACAGGAACAACGAAGAGAGAGAAGGTTTTGAAGACATGGAAGAATCCGAAACTCTCTCTTCCAAAAACGGCTCGTTTCTCTCCGGAAGTCACAAATATCAAGCCACTGCCACTCCAGGCCCGAGGGAGAAGGAGATTGTCGAATTGTTCCGGAAAGTTCAGGCTCAGCTCCGCGAGAGAGCAGCAATAAAGGAAGAAAGGAAAGTGGATGACTCTCAAGGGAAAAGCAAGGAGAGTGAGACCGTAGATTCTCTGCTCAAACTCTTGAGGAAGCACTCTGTTCAACAGGGGAAGAAAAGCAATAATAACAACAGCAACAACAGTAACAGGGATTTCATACTCGATCAACAAGAACAAGTGGGCTCGTTGAACGGAAAGAGAAGCACAAGCATATCGGATTCTAGCAATCCTGTGAAGCACGAGGTACTAGAAAGCCCGAAACCACCTCTTACACGGCCCAAATCGAACTTCAGTAAAAGATCCCCTGTCCCTGAAATCAAATTCCCAAGTGTTTATTCTGCTGAGGGATCTGTTACCGTGAACAGTTCACCGGACATTGTAGATGGTGGAAGAAAGGCGATTAGTTTGGAGAGAGAAAGTGTTGATATTGATTCCGACTCTGAAGCGGACCCTCTGTTTCAAGAGGAGAACGTGTTTGACGAGATTTTGGAAGACGAAATTTCGGAAATTTACGAGAGCGAGCATGAAGAAGAGGTGGTTGCTGTTGTTGCAGCAAAAGAAGAGGATGTGGTTGGAGCTAGTGACGATTTGAGTGGAATGAAGATGACGGAACTGAGAGCGCTTGCCAAGTCTCGTGGCATGAAGGGCTTTTCGAAGTTGAAAAAGAACGAGCTCGTCGAATTGCTAAGCCGGTCGGAAATATGATTTTGATTCCGTAGTAGAGTGGTTTTCATGAGGAAACAATTTGGGATTCTTTTTTTGTTTACTTCTCATAATTTTTATTGCTAGTCTAATATGTCTTTCTCTGCATTGTTGAACAAAAATGCTAAATCTTGAGGGCAATATATATTTCGGAAAATAACTCATAATTAATAATATATTATTAAAAATGACAAATATGTAAAGATCCACACACCTACAAAAAGGGGATCTTGAAAACTCCAAAAAAATAGCACTACAAATAATGTTATAACAACAGAAAGATCTTTTGCAAGAAGCAACCTCATTTCCCCCAGTAACTAATGTACACTTATCCAAATTGCAATCCTTAATTTCTGCTCATGGAAGTTTCGATACGTGATGTTCTGGCGGTGGTGGCCGTGCGTGATGGCGGACACCTTCTTGGTGCAATGGACCCCTGTACGGTAGATTATTTGTCCTCTGCCTTTTGTTAGCTTTACCATGCAGGGCTGTCGGCACTTCATTTGTTTGACTTCTGCAAAATCGAGCTTCGGTGTTGGGTTCGTCATGTTGTTGCTCTTGCAACTTTCTCTTCTTTTCATCATGTGATTGATTGAATCTCTTGCCTTTTTCCCGATTTCGTGCATAGCCGGATGATGATGATGCCGGCGTTCGTTTTTTCAATCTTGCTTGTTCCGTTTCCAACTGCTTCGTCCTTGAAGTAAGCCTGTAGGGGGAGTACTCGGATTCAAGCCCATATTTGATAATATGGGCAATTGCAAGACGCAGATCGGCTATCTCACTAGTAATAGCTTTATCCTGATATATCAAATTCATAAATATATATGAGCACAAAAACTACTGTACATTTATTTGTAAGAAATAATTGGAAAAAACTGTCGTCGGAGGAGCAGAGCAACATACCTGTGCTTTACAAGGATTATTTTCCGTTTTAGCTTTTGCCTTTGCTGAGAACTTTGCATGTATTACGTAATAATTCAGCACAGCTGCCTGTGGAAACGTGTTCTCAAGTTGACATTCGTAGATGTAAGTGCTGGCGAGCAGATACTGCTTCTCGTTTATAAGAGTTTTGATAAAACCTGTTACACGAGATAAAGCGACTTTCTTGAGTGAAAAACAGCATAAGGCAGGAAAAAAAAAACTACAAAGAGAAGTAAATTGCATGTAAAGTAAATTTGAGAGATCAATTACCAGGAATATTCTCCGTGAGACCAAGGACGCGGAAGAGACCGGGTGTCTGTTTATGTTCGGCCACCGATTTCAGAAACCCCAAAATCTCGACTTTGTTAAAACAGGAGGATATTTTGTATGCAGCCAAGAAATGCAAGAAGCCCAATACATTCAATGGGTTTTCAGCACTAGTTCTCATTTTCGACTTCCACGCATTAGCAACTAGAATTGCTGCTTCTCTAATACATCGCGGAATATTTGGGGACATTTTGGTCAGCTGATCCAACAGAAGAATGCCCCTTTCCTGTATTTCGATCTTTATATCTCCATCCTTCACGTAGGGCGGTGCGCAAAATAATACTACGGCCTCCAAAATTAACTTTGCTGGATCAGACGAGTGGAGAAGAACTTTAAAGACCTCATCGCTCAAAAATTCCAAGTCCTTTTCAATGCTGTGCATAAATAGTTCCACAATTATTCTATCTTGCACTTCACATCGCGGGTCGACTCGTTCGACTGTTACGCCCTTTTCAACATCTTCCTCTAATTTAATTCTCTTTTCTGGTTCCTTCAATTCTTTTGCTTTCGGTTCATGTACATCAACTTCCTTCTGAACACAATCCTTGACAGAATTACACTCTATCTTCTTTGCACCAATTTCTTGCTTATCGAATTTCTCCTCTCGAACGTTTCCTTCCAGGCTAAGCTCTTCATCAATCAATCTCAATTTATCACCAGCTACCTCCAATTCTCTCATTTTTTTCTGTTGGGATGATTTGAATTCCTTCGCCCACTTCTCAAGTTCTTCAACCGGCATATTCGTTGAATCTCTTGTTAATTTAGTTCCCTTTGCAGCATCGGGAGGTGGTTCCCGAGCCTCCATCTCCTTCACCTTCTTACCCATCGTTTTCTCTAAACACTTCAAAAGATCTTGCGCCAACTTCTGTTGCTCGGTCGCCTTTTGATCCCTCAACTCGACCTCCTTAAGAAGCTCTATCCTCGTAACACTAAGTCGCTGCTCTTCCAATTCCAACTTTCGCATTTTGTCCTGTTGGAATGAATTAAATTCTTCCTCCATTTCCTCAAACTTTTTGAACCGTTTCTCCAACGATTCCTGAATTAAATCGGCTTCACTCAAACGAGCATTCAATGAATTATGGGTCACAGACTCCCAAGAATCAATCTCCTTTAACCTCTCCGCCATTTTTTCTTCCCTGAACTGAACCTCATCAAGAAGCTCTATCCTCATAACACGAAGCTGCTGCTCTTGCGCTTCCAAACTCTGCAATTTATCCTCTCGAAATGCATTAAAATCCTTTTCCATTATCTCAAATTCTTTGAACCCTTTCTCCAAAGATTCTCGAATCAAATCCGCTTCATGCAAACCATCAGACAACGATTTATGGGCCGCAATCTCCCGGGACTCGATCTCCTCTAACCTCTCAGCCAGTTTTTCATCCCTCAACTTGACCTCCTCAAGAAGCTCCATCCTCATAACACTAAGTTCTCGCTCTTTGACCTCCAACTTTTGCAGTTTGTCCTGCTGGAATGCATTAAACTTGTTTACCATTTCTTCAAACTCTTTCATCAGTTCCTCCAACGATTCTTGAGCGAAATCAGCTTCCTTCAAAAGAGGCTTCAGCGATTTCTTAGCCTCAGTCTTCAACGACCTTATCTCCTTGAACCTCTCATCTACAGCCACCTTGATGCCCTCATACCTATCGAGCGCCAACTCCAACTTCTTGATAAGTCCACACCGAACAATCTCTACCTTTTTCAATCTCTCACTTGCCAATTCAACCTCTTTAGCAAACTCGTCCCTCTTACTAGTCAGTATCTCTTCTTTCGCAGCTAATTGTCTCCATTTCGCATCTTGGTACGCATCGAACTCATCCTCCTTCTGCTTAACATCTCTCAACCGTTTCTCCACCGAACAACCCATAGAATCAATTTGCCTCTCCCTGTTTTCAATCTCCTTCAACTTCTCCATCTGCAACATACGAAAGCCCTCGACTTCGGCCCGGGCTGCCTCCAAGCTGTCAATATGATCACGAACAGACTTCAAATCCTCATCCAATTTCTCCTCCCTCAACCGAGCCTCCTTCGCGAAATCTTCCAACGCCGGAGTCAGTCCCCTCTCTTTCAAAGCCAGTTCCCTCTTCTTTCTCACACGAAAAAACTCGAATTCCCTCTCCCTCTCCTCCACTTCTTTCAACCGTTTATCCAGCGATTCTCGAACCAAGACCAGATTTTTCTCCCGAGATTCAATCTCCGAAACTCTACCAACTAAAGAGTTGAACAGATTATCGCCCATACCTTTCCATTCGTTCACCACGTTCAGAATCCCGTTCGAAGCCGAATTTTTCCCCGCCTGCGATGGCTTGAGATCGTGTAGAAGATGCTCCATCGACGACAACACAAATTAACATGCAGAAAAGCAAACCACGCGCCGCTTCTCTACGAAACGCTGTGCGTAAATCAAACAACAGAAATTATTATTAATGGTATATACAAAATCAACATCAACGTAGGTATATTTATATACAGAGAGAGAGAGAGAGAGAGATACGTACAAAGGTTGGGGTTTTCAAATAAAATTAGGGTTTTAGTATTACATAATAAAAGGAAAGCAGTAGAAATCAACCTTTTATGGGGTAGAGCAATAAGAGTTGTAGTAGGAAAGAGAAATCTACCGATGGCCGCCACGTGGAATATTTACACGTGGCGCTTCATCTTAATTCTTACCTTTTGTATTTACTGTTTGTTTCCATTAATAAATTTATTTTCCCCGTTTATTTAGCCACAAGCATCTTTTGTCTTATTTTAATAGGGAAATAATGAACTACAATTATGCTCTAAGTAGTGGATTGTCATAAATTTTATGTATTTTCCAATAAGTACATTAATTATTTATATATTCATAAATATATATATTTTTTCACATTTTTTTATAAAGATATGTGCATTCTCAGAATATTAGTATATATAAATATATATTTGCACTTTTCTTTATTCTTACGGACTAATTTTTGTATATATATTCACGAATGTATATTTTTATATATAGCTACAAATATTGTCGTTACAATTTCTATTTTGTCAGAGTTATATTTGTTTCAAGATTATGAGTATATACATGTACAAATATAATTACATAAAAATATTTTGAAGGTTAATGATAAAAATTGAAGCTTAAGGGCTTGGATTTCAAAATAAAGAAGCAAAAAATATAAATCGAAGAATTTTAGACATTTCGACCGTGAGAGGAAAACGTCCGATCTTAACGTCCGATGTTCATGTTTCCCTTCTCTTTTCCTCGAAAAAATTGAGTAAATAGCTTTTCCTTTGTTTTAGTCTATTTTTTTCCCAAACAAAGCCTAAGCAAACGTCAGTAGTCATAAAATAGTCACAAGTTTTGTACACAAATATTTTTCTATTATTTTTTACTAAAAGTATTTGACCATGACATATGCACAAATTAATATTTTACCATGACTAATCTTTTTGCTGAAAAAAATTAGTGATAATAAAAATTAAATAAAAACAAGCAAACATAAAACAAAATAGGAAAATTGTAGTTTTGGTCTTCTATGCTGGCCTATTTAGGAATTTCAGTTTTACATGTAATAACTTTGCAAATATAGTATTTTTAGTCATGTTTTGCATGGTTTTTTATTTTATGACGCGACAAATAAACTTGACGCATTTTATTTAAATGGACGCTTGGAAAACGATAAATTTGACATCTAATTTACCATTGGTAGAACATTAATTACGTGAGACGACACATCTATAAACCAATTTATAGGAGCATTTATAATTTTTAAGTGTCCATATAGATAAATTTCTACGAATTTGTTAGGTACATCATTAAACGACGGCTAAAATTCAAATTTCGAGTGAAATAGGACTAAAAATATTAGTTTTGCATAATTATTGCACGTAAAATTGAAACAAGACAAATTATAGGACTAAATCCCTAGAAAGACCAACATATAGGACCAAAATTACAATTTTCCCAAACAAAAAAGAATGAGCGTACATTGTAACAACTTAATAGCCCCCCATGCTATAGGCAATTAGGCATGGTAACCGGTAGATCAAGTTTTGCATTTAGCACTAAGGTTTGTATGTGAAATTTAGTCAACTAACAATTTTAATTTCATTTTCGGTAGTCAACGCACAAATAGAGAAAATTACTAAAATACCCTTTAAAATAAGAAACTCCCCTAAGGTATGGTTAAATTACAAAACCCCCTCTTGTTTGTGTAGTTACAACATCCTCAAATATAAATCTTCTTACACGTCTACTCTTGCGGTTTCAAATTTAATGAAATCTTTTAAATTATATGGAATATTCTCAAATTTCTACCCGTTCGAGCTACACATTTTGAAGCTAGATGATCATAAAATGTGGTTTTTGGCTTATATATATATCAAATTATGGTGCATTAGAAACTATATTTCTGCACAAAGTACAAACTAGAGAACATTACTTCCACGGAATCTAGATCAGTATGTTGAATTTGACACCATAAATGTAGAGATGTAAGAAGATTTTTCATAGTTGAGGGGTATTTTTAATTACTTAAACATGAAGAGTTTTTTTTTTCGTAATTTGACCATACCTCAGGAGTGGTTGTAATTTACACTAAAAATAATTATTTCTCAACTAGTTATTTAAGAGTGATAAATGCTAAAATTGAAAATAATACTTCCTCGAAAATCTAAAACAACAAATAATTTGGGGGGAAAAAAACTCTCCAAAATAACTAATTTATGGGAAAATGTTACATTTATAAGCAAGGTTATTAAAATCGAACCGAACCGTACGGTCGGATCGGTTCGACCGTGACCTGGCAATGAAGTGGTATGATATGTCCTTTAAAACCGGAAAATTTGAATATCGGGGTCAAATAACCAAAATCCGGTTCAATTGGGTAAAAACCCGGGAACCGACGAGTCAGTCAAGCAACCCGATTTTCGGCCAAAACGTCTCAAACCTACACTCTCGTATAATAGCTTGCAAACCAAACGAGAAATGAAAATCATACTAAGTTAATCATGTGATTAAACCTACACTCTCGTATAATAACTTGCAAACTAAACGAAAAATGTAAACCACACTAAACTAACCATGTGTGACAAACTCGACTTTTAACAAGGGGATTCGAACTTTGATCAAGTAACACAAGCTCACTTAACAAACAAATCTCCACTACGTGCAATATAATAGTAATATCCTAGAATCTCATAATTCAAGATATACACAATCACTCTCCAACGAGCTTTTGAATTATGAACAACTTGAAGCTCAGTGTAGAGTGTTGTGCGATAGAGTTAAACCATAGGGGTGTTAAAAGTGTTATTTGCTCTAACGGTTATAAGTAAAACATCTAAACCACGTTTCATAAAGAGAATACTTTCTTGCTCACATGATTTGTTCCTCACACACAAAGGGGGTCTATTTCCCTCAACAACTTTAGTTCACAAAACTCAAGAATAGTTGTTAATTAATGAAAAATAACGGAGCTACAACACCGTTAACCCTCTTAAGGATTTGCAGGATCCATCATCAAGGCTTCTTAGCAACACCCCTGTGATGGCATCGCATCACTTTTTCTATGTGGCCAAGCCCATCTTTAACTGTGGAATGAGATCTACTGGAATGAGATCTATTGCTTATATAAGATGCATCAGTTGGAGGAACCACTACGACGTTAACATGCCCGTCACCATTACAATGATTAGGGTTTGCCCTTGCTTGCACGTCTCTTCGAACCTGGCAACTATCGTTGCCAATCCGTGACACTGTTTTAATAGGGGCAACGGACGTTGATTGACCTGACATACACGAATGCTATATATTGAACATCGACGGCACATGGGAAAGACCAAGCGAGATCACCATAGAGAGTAAAATAAAAGTAAAATAAAGGGGGAGTGGTAAATATGTTTCAATAATCTGAAACAAAAAGAACACATGATGAACTTTCGGTCTTAAGGTAATATCATCATGGTTCTACCCTTTGGGGTCAAACTTATCAAACATGCATGTTTCCATAGAACAATCACGAATGATCTTATAAGTTTAGTGGACTAAGACCTCAGAAGTCCCAGTGCTCAATATGGTGAGAATAACCAACCACAACCTCTAAAAAATAAGGTTTTCACCTCAAAATGGAGTGTTAAACGCGTGTTCGTTAAACACATGGTCGAGATTTGGCACCAAAGACTTAGCATAGCCTAAGATAGTAGATAAAAACAATGTAAGCAAAATGGATAAAACCAAAGCCGATACGTTGTCACACGGCCTCACCAGATACTCTAAAGGTGCAAGTGTAGACAGTAGTTAAATTCTATATGAAACCTCCAAAACACATAAATAGACAACCTACAAAAGAGGACATCGATCAATATCCTTCTCATTAACAAATCATGGGCCTCGATGTTAATCAAATTATTCTTGTATTTTCCTTTAAAAATCTTGATAACCACACTATTCTAGAGAACCGTAATTAGATGAGGCGAAGAGAATCTTGTAGAGAATTGTAATAAGATTCTTTTATCCTCAATTGCGACAAGTACTTATGTACATCCTGAGTGAACATCTATACTTGGTTACATGGGTGTCAAGTAACCAAATAAGATTGATTTGTCACAAAATAACTCAATCTTTGAGACTAATGTGGTTTGGAGTCTACTAGCAATATCCAACTCACCACCACAACATCCATTGTTGCAATTTTCACAAGTCCCCTATGTTGTTTCGGGTTTAGGATCTAACTATTGCATAAAAACATTCGTCCATTACGACCAAGGCTCATTATCACAATGATCTCATTGAGGTATATAACAAACCTCACTTTGTACAATGGTGCATCACACCTCCATTCTACCATGATCAAGCAATAGGTTGACAACTCTTTTCGCACCTACAAACTCCGCTATACAAGACAAATAGTACGCATAATGCCTCTCCTCATGCAATGACATGACCATCCCTTTTTTTTTTCTTTTCATGATCGTCTATCTTCGACGGACAATTCATATTCTGCATCATCGACTTTTCATATGCATTGTCGTTAGGGATTTTGGACCATAAGAGAGATCTAATGAACACCAACCATCATGGTCGCCTAGTGTCTCTCATGTTAGTTCTATGGCTCTTTTTACGACAATGTCGTGATAGTTCGTATATTCTAACATCGAACAAATAACCAAATGGAAAATGTAGAAGAAACAACAACTTTCTAATGATCTTCAAAGGGAGTTAAGAAAAAAACTTAGGTTTTAAACAGAACATTAGCAAGTATTTTAGATTTGGGTAAATTACACCCACACCCTTGAGGTATGCTTAAATAACTTTAAGGTTCCTGTGATATCGATAATTACACTCACCCCCTTGAAACGTAGTTATAAACTCTAATGGGATAATGCAATGGATACGTTATTACGATAGAGTTCTAACGGACTATTGGTTTCAGGAAGTAGTGGAGTTATGGGTGATTTAAGAAATATTGGGGGAGCCATGTCACCCCATAACTCCCGATAACTCTATGTTATCTCCACCACTAGCTAAAAGTAATAGTACATTAGAACCCTATCGGAATAATGTATCCAATGCATTATTCCGTTAGAGTTTCTTACTACGTTTTAGGGAGTGAATGTAATTATCGATATCACAGGGACCTTAAAGTTATTTAAGCATACCTCAGGGGTGTGGGTGTAATTTACCCTTTAAATTTTCCTTATTTACATTGCTTTCTCAAAATAGCAGAAAAAAACTAACAGAAATCTTTAAGAAACATTTTGAGAAATTACCAGAGTAATAATAATTGTTAAAGAAAGAAAAAATAAACTAACAGCAATTGTACATGCACTTTAGAAAAATGTACATGCACTTTAGAAAAATAACAGCAATAATAATTATTAAAGAAAGAAAAAAGAAACTAACAGCAATTGTACATGCACTTTATAAAAATGTACATGCACTTTAGAAAAATAACAGCAATAATAATTATTAAAGAAAGAAAAAAGAAACTAACAGCAATTGTACATGCACTTTATAAAAATGTAATTACTCTGGACACCAGACATGTAAAATTTGAGAAACCAAATGGCACAGGAAAGCCATCTGAATTTTGCCCAAGTTTTGAAACAAACAGAACCAGCTTATTGAGTTATCGATGTAAACATCATTTTCAATTTTCAAGCATTGGCCAGACAGATTAATTACAGAACACAAGTGGACAAAGATTCACCTCTCTAAAGGAGAACGATGAAGACGGTAGCCTCATCGAGGGAACACAGTGTTATCAGTAGTGGGTTGCATATTTACTAATAATGAACATATTCAACCGAATGCAGACATGTAGCATGTAGGCAAAGCGAAAAATGAAAGGTTACGAGACAAGAAAATGTTACCTGTTATGCTCTCCACGAAACCAAGAATACGGCACAAGTCAGGTGTTTGTCTATATTGAGCAACTTTCATCACAAAACCCAAAATCTCATCTTTATCAAAATACGAGGTTAGGTTATAAGAAGCCAATAGGTGCAAGAATCCCAATAACTCCAACGGATTTTCGGCACTGGCTCCCATTTTCGACTTCCATGCACCAGCAAGTTCCATAGCTTCTTCTCTGACGTACGGTTGAATTTTCGGTGACATTCTAATTAACTGCTGTAAGAGAATAATACAGGTTTTCCTAACATTGAACTCCACATCTTCTTCCCTCAAATGAGGAGGGTAGAAGCCTACCATTGCATCTAAAACCAACTTTGGAGGATCCGAGGATAGGTGAAGAACTGTATAAATTTCATCACCCATTGATTCCAAGTCTTTTTGAGGGTCATTCAAGAACATTTGCAATGTTTTACCATCCATTTTCACTGTAAGTTTTACATCTGCAGACTGATTTGCATCAGTCCTCACATGGGCATTGATGACATCACTAGATCCTTTCTGTTTCAGTTCGAGCTCTCTTGCTGTTTTCTTGAGTCGTTGAATTTCAAGTTCAAGGTCTCTAGCGCGTCTCTCGACTAAATTTCTTTCTGAAAGCAGTTTCTTCTTTATGGCAAGATGTTCCTTAAAACAGTTGCGAGTAAAACCTCTCACAGAATTCAGACTCATCTCTCTCCGATCAAGCTCTTCCAGTCGTTGTTCATTCGATTTTTGAACCAAATCCATTTCTCTTTGTCTAGCTTTAAGTTCATCTTCCCGAATCTGCAAATCATTTTGTTCCACAGCAATCTTGTTTTTCTTCCGTCGAAGTTCATTTTTCTCAGAAAGCACATCATCTTTCTTTATTTTAATTCTCTTCTCCCGTTCCTCCAACTGCGCCGCTTCAGAGTCTAGCTCGTCCACTTTCCTCACAACCCAATCCCTAATGGAATTAAGCTCAACTTCCTTCAGACCAATCTCTTTATACCTCTCATGAACCGTTTCTTTCAAGCTTTCAACATTATCCTGTGCCAACTCTAACCTTTTCAAAAGCTTAATCGCCAAACCCTCTCTCTCGGTCAATTGCTCATCCGCCAATTCGGCAACTTCAACGAACTTTTTACTCATCACATCCAGTTGCTGCTCCTTCGAAACCAGCTCCCGCATTTTGTCCTCTTGGGATGAACAAAATTTGCATTTCCTGTTTTCAAACTCTTCCAATTGTTTCTCAATTGATTCCCTGATTAAATCAGCTTCTTTCACACCAACTGCCACTGATTCCCTGGCCACATTCTCCCGAAACTCAATCTCCTTTAATCTCTCATCTATGGACGCCCTCATGCCCTCGAGCTTTTTCTCTGCCATATCCAACCTCTCGACAAAACCACACCTTACCTTCTCTTGCTCTGCAAACTTCTCACCTGCCGATTTAACCTCCTTATCAAACTCTTCCCTCTTCATGTTCAAGTCCTTCTCTTTCAACAGAAACTCCCTCATTTTACTCTCTAAAACGAACTTAAACTCTTTCTCCTTATTTTCAACCGCAGTTATCCGTTTATCCAATGTCCGTATGATCAGGTCAACTTTCCCCTCCTTCTCAGCCAATTTCTGTTCTCGAGACTCGATCTCCTTCAACTTCTCACCGGCCTGCCGCTGCTTGTCCTGAACTTGAGCCTGCGCCACCTGCAAACGCTCGATATGCTCACGCACAGACGCCACCTGCGCATCCAATTCCCCCTCCCTCCTCTTAACACTGCTAAGAAACTCTTCCCTCTCCGAACTCAACTCCTCTTCTCCGGGCACAGCAAATTTTCTCCTTTTCCTATCTCTACACTCACCGCACTCCTTCGCCTTCTCCTCCCAATCTCTCAACCGTTTCACAACGGATTCTCTCAAATAATCTAGCTCCGTCGTCTTCGCCGCCGATTCTCTAGCCAAGTCCGGATTCCGCCGCCGGGGGTCAGTTTTGGAAAAGCCTTCCAGCAAATACTTTGTCAGGTTCTCGGCCACAACAGCCCGCTCACTCAGAGCACCGCAAGGCTTCTCCATTACCGCTCGATACGTACACAGACCACCAAGCAGGGTATACCTTCAACAAAGCAACGCCCAACCCCCAATTTTGCACACATTTACAGACACAAAAAAATACGCAAAACGCCGAACGCGTGAGTATAAAACCCTAATTTTTACACATTTAAAGACACAAAATTGCGCAAAAACGCCGAACGCGTGTGTACAAGGCCCTAATTTTCTTTTCAGCAAACGTTCACACACACAATTAGGGTTTCCAGTGGAGAAGATAATGGGGGTAAGTTTCCAGTATTTTCCTGGAAAATCGGAAATTATACTAAATTTACGCTAACTTCAATTTAACACGCAAACTGCCCTCGAAAGAATTTTGATGTGACACAAAGTGGCATTTTGCTCTTTTCAAATCTCTATTATTTTTTTATATATAAATATAAATATAAATATAAATAAAATCGCGTATATAAGTATATGGGCCTGTGAATTTGAATTTCGAAAATAAAAGACCATGAGTCCAATCTAGAGTCTCTGTAAATTCAATCCAAAATTGGCATCACAGAAAGGTCCATTATTATTAATTAATGAAAATGACTAGATCCTAAGTTGAGAAAAAAAAAATTAATAAACTGAAATGCTAAATCCCACATGGAAATTACTAGATCCTGCACATAATAAAAAAAAATTCTCTCTCTAAAATCACAAACATCGGTCTTTTTCTCTTCCCCAAACAAGTTCTTTTTCCCTCATGCTTGCACAAAAACATCATAAAAACAGTATTATAATTCGAGATTCGAACTTAAAGAAAACCTTCTGAAATTTATTTTACAATCAAGGTAATCATTCTATCTCAAATTAATTCTACTAATTAACAGTACAATAGGTTTTTCTTCTCTCTTCTCTCTCTCTCTCTCTCTCTCTCTCTCTCTCTCTCTCTCTCTCTCTCTCTCTCTCTCTCTCTCTCTTTTTAAAAAAACAAATTCAATTCAATTTTATTACTTGTCAATATATGGTGGGTGGTAGAGGGTGATGAAAGGCATGCCATGAAATACGTCCATGACAGGTGTGGGATTTTGGTGGGGGGGGGGCGGGGTGGGGTGCCTGCCATGAAATTCACGTCATGGCAGGTGTGGGGTTTTGGGAGGCGCGGCTACGTTGGAAGCGAAGGGCTGATGCTTTTTTTCATATTTTTTTTTTTAATTCATATCAAATCAATTTTTTATTATTTTTTTAGTAAATATTTAATGATTAATAAAATTTTAATACTTTATAAATACTGAATAAATGTTAAAAATATTTTAGAATTAAATAATTAGAAATTTAAAATATTGAATACATGTTCAATAAATATTTAATAATTAAAAAATATTTAATAAATATTTAGACTTGTTTAATAAATATTAAATAACTTTCAAATATTTAATAAATGCTTAATTTATGTTAAATGTTTTTTTTTTAATGTTTAATAAATATGTTTTGTAATTGTTTTTTTTACAGATGCCTCGTCGATAAGTAGGACATACGGGAACAACTTCAGCATATCAGGAATTCGAGGATCAACAAATACCAAGTCAATAACCTCATTCGTCATTGAATCCGCACGGTGTCGTTGTATATACTTGCTCTAATCAATACCCTGCATCAAAAGTTGAATAACTGTCTTTCTGCCCATTAATTTAATTTTGATTTTGAGTCTTGCATTATAAATGTATTTCAACGAAGTGGTAATATTTGGATCTTCACGTCAAAGATAGTTTAAAATCTTCTTAGGCTTCACGTGACTTCTCGTCAACATCTCGGTAACTTCATACTGCTTATAAAGACCATGCTTCGAAGTTGGAGGATGATTATGCTTCCCGTAAACTATAGAGAGTTCTGATTTATCCTCTGCTTGTAGAGCCACCTTCAGCTGGAAATCACAATTACATTTTTTCATGTCAGTAAATTTTGTACTTTCTACACCTTTATTCTTCCGTTTCACATATTTTTTTCCATACCGATCACATGTGACGTATACTCTATCACAAAAAGTATGACCTATACTTAGCTTAATGCCATGGCTTTCAGCTGTGTCTCTCGCCCACTGTATTAAATCGGCTCTACAATTAAACAATTGCACTCCTAAAAAATATTCAGAAAAATCAACTTCCCTATTATCCTGAAAAAAGTATAAATACAGTGTTATCTTCCATTATTAAAGACGGCGCCCACCTTGGACGCGAATACAGTGTACTGCGCGCTATCTGTTTCGTCTTCCAGGTTGTCTACCCTCTGCGTATGACGATTTTTTGGCAAAAAAATTTAAAATCTTACATCAGGTTTAAGTGGATTGTCGTTAGAAGGTATTGCACTCATTAGTTGATGATTATTACGTAACAAAAAACGACTTTTGACGACTTCTTAGTATTTTGAAAACCCTAGAAAAAAGTTGGAAAGAAGTCAAAAAAATAGAGCATAGAGAGAAAATATTTTTTGTGTATAGAGAATTTTTTTTTTTTTTATGTGCGGGATTTAGTAACTTTTTGTGTAGAAAACCCTAAAAAAAGTTAGAGAGAAGTCAGATAAAATATTTTTGGTAGAGAGAGAATATTTTTTATTTATGTGCGGGATTTAGTAACTCTTAGTGTAGGATTTAGCACCCCCATTAATAAATTATGAATTTTAAGAATTACGTGGCACATAGGGACAACATTATTTCCATCAATTATCAAATCGAAGGTCCAACTGTCTCATTAGTGGCCAATTGTGTGATAAGGAGTTGCCAACTTGATCCTTAAATTGAGTATATACCATTTCACTGTTGATTTAATTTAGAAAAAACCCCAAAAAGGAAAATAAAAATAAAATTGCCAAACATCACTCTCTTGCCAGCTTATTGAACAGAAAAATGATGATGTGACCTAGACTTTCTATTTATTTATTTTTCTGTGTATAATCTTCTAAATTAATATTATTTATTAATCACCTAATATTCAAGATTTATGGAATGGAAGATAACAACTCCACCTAAAACAAATCTGTTAAAACTAACTAAGAAATAATATTTAATAATTGTCAATAATTCATACTCCTAGATAATTTATTTTATTTTTAATTTTTTTTTAAATGTAAAATCACTTTCAGAGGTAGCAGCTCATGAGGTTTTATGAGAAGTGGATTAGAGGAAAATGCCAACTCGTGCAATATTAATGAATAATAGACCTTTTAAATAAAATGATGAATATTTAGAATTGACAATTAAATAATAATATCATTTGTAGAATTCATGTGTGGTAGCCATAGAATTGGCCCACTAGGTTCACTTCCCTTAAATTTAAGATTTTATTTATTGGAGCACCAGTTGGGCTTTGGCTGGCTAATGTATTTTCAATTTTTATTTGGACTTCCCCAACATTTTTTATTTTATTTTTAATTCAATTTTTTAGAATTTATTTTATTAATTTTTGGGAGTGAACAATATTCCCTATTATCATTATTATTTAATTATTTTTTGAGGAAAATCCTAGTTCTGTTCACTTTGAACATAAGTTGAATATCAGAACAACCATAATAAATTATCTATAAAAAGTTAGGTTATGTCTTTCAAATTTCAAGTAAAAAAAATGTGGCTCAATTTCCCTTGTCCGGTTGGTGAGAAGGAGATTAAATGCTCCAAGTCATATCCTAAATATATATTGGTGGATCAAATATTTCACCGACTCGTTCGTGCGAGCAATTCTAATGGTAAAACATAAAACTTGAGTTATCAAAATACTCATTTAAAAGTCAAGAAAATATTTTACTATTCTGTAAAATTCATCGGCTCCAACCATGGTTATCGAATTAATTGTCAATTGAAAATTTGTTTTAATGATTTTCATTTGTAATTACCACATGTCAATTTGTGATCGGACAAACGGAATTATTTTTAACGGATCCAAAGAGTGGTTTATGTGTTTGATAATCCATCTAACACTGATTATACTTTTTCATTCTATGAATTTATTTCACTTTTCAATTAAACTCCATTGATTTGTAATTGAAGGAGAAATTAGAGAAGTGAAAAGTTTGATTAGAAAGTAGCCGACAACGATAGTGGTCAAACTTGAGGTCACGATTTAATGGATAATCCACTATTTGGTTTATTGATTCTTTTTGACCATGTCAATTCCGATTTCCTATTATAAATTTATTCCAATATCATTGTTAATTAATTTAACCATATAAAACCATGGCGGAAATTCCTATGTTGCCCTAATCAATTAACCTAATTTTTTATTTTATTCTTTTATAGAGACGAGGGTAAATTAGTCATATAGCCGAGACAAACACACCCCAACATGGTACTCCCTCTCTCTCTCTCTCTGCAAAAATCTTCGTCAGTTGATTAAATTAATTAAAAATGAAAAAAAAGGTGTAAAACTTTTTATAATCATCCACCTAATCATGATTACAGATTCCCCACATTCCCCACTCTCCATTAATCCCTCTCTTAATTACTATTTAATTAACGACAACGAATTCATAATCATCTCATTATAATTTAATTCCCCCCACCCCACCAACAAAATTCAGCACCTATAAAAGACACCCCCAACAGATTCCTTCCTTGTTTAGTTTCTTCGGATCCCTCAAAAAAAAAAAAAAAAAAAAAAAAAAGCACAGTGGAGAGGGTTGAGCTGGCAAGAACCCTAGTGGAAAAGGATCAAAAGGGTTTTTTTTTTTTTTTTTTTTTTTTTTCAGGAATTGTGTTTTGAAGAGTGATAGATCAAAGATGTAAGATATTTATTTTCTGGGACTTCATCAAGATCTGTTCTTGCGGAGGTAGCTTACTTTTTCAGCCAATTAATCCATTTTTTATTATTTTTTTTATTGCATTTAGATTGAGCTGTGAATATTTATTTGTGATATAGATATTTGTGCCTTGACAGATTATAGAGTAGTTTTAACTCTTAAGTTGCCTTAAGTTCAGATTAATTATGAAGGTTTGGTTCTGAGTTCTGACCAGTGCAAATAAGGTGGTTTTTGTTTCTTGATGAATTTGCCCTTATTTAATTACTGTTGCTGAAACAAGATATAAGCATTTAATTAAGAAAAATTGGAGGGATGTTGCTGGATATTTTTGGCTTTCTTGTTGAATGTGGCAGTGGCGGCACGAGTACTTAGATGCGTTTTCGATTCTTGTTTTTTCGTCGTATTGGTTGTGATGAACGGGTTTCTCAAGTTCAGTTCATCGGTGATATGTGTGTGATTCGTTTGTATAGCATTTGCCAGTAGTTGACTTCTAACATGGAGTAACTTTTAGTTGTTAGCATTAGCAAGACAGAGTTTCTGGTGCAAAAAGTCCCGATTCTTCCCCAAACTGGAAATTTCGCACCTTTTCGATATTGTTTTCCAGACGATGTTTTTGACCGGTCGAGTGTTTGTAGTAACTGTATTCGCATCCCACACACATGTTAGTTTGATCACTCATCAAGAATTATAATTCTTGTTTATTTGAGTTTGATCGTTTACTACTCTTCTGGCTTTATCGAAACAGGTCAATGGACTTAACACCGTTGAGATGCCTTAACAACAGTATCTCTCGATTAATCCATCTCGTAACATGTCGTATCTCAACTGCAATGCCAGCCGAAAAGGATTACATAAATTTAGTTTCTTCACTAAAGCTAGTCAAACCAGTCCTCGATGACATCGCTAATCGCAAAGCACCACTAGACGAAGCTTTGTCTAAAGAATGCGACGAGCTGGATACAGCTGTCAACGAGGCTCGAGAATTCCTCGAGAAATGGTCTCCAAAAACTAGCAAGATACTATGTGTAAGTATATATATGTATATATGAGCACATAAAAAATCATGCATTAATCATTGAATCTAGTAATATATTTCGAGATGCGAATAATATATTTTTCAGGTACTGCAAAGTAAGCCATTGGTACTGAAAATTCAGAATTCCTCGGTCAAGCTATGTGGATTCTGTGAATCGTCACCCAATGCTCAGGTAAGGGTACAATTTATAACTGAATAAAAATCGTATTTTTATCTCCACAATTATCTTAATAATATTTTCTGTGCAGATATGTATTCAAGAATCTCGAAATCTAAAGCTAGGACAACTATCTGAACACATAGAAGAGATTCTCAAAAGCCAAGAAGACTGGGAAAAAAATCCTTGTGCCGACCATCTTACTGAGATAATTGAATCCTTCAGTCTGAGATCAAGTCAAGAATTGCTAAACGAGCGCATCGCCCTCGAAAAGGAGAAACAGAAAGCTGAATCCAGTAATATAAAATCCGAATTAGATCGAATTTCTCAAATTTTAGAACTTATATCTCATATTCGCGAGTTTGTCGAAAAAAATAAATCCGTAAACAACGTACAAATCCCTTCGTATTTCCGATGCCCGTTATCTCTAGAGCTGATGTGGGACCCGGTAATAGTTGCTTCAGGCCAGACTTACGAGCGGGCCCACATCCAAAAATGGCTGGACCAAGGATTAGTGAGATGCCCCAAAACTAATTACGAGCTCGCCCACAAGAATCTTATTCCGAATTACACTGTCAAAGCCCTCATAGTCAACTGGTGCAACGAAAACAAAGTAGAACTCTCCAATAATTCAGACAAAGTCGAGGATGTTTTCGAGGCCCGGAAGGTTCCGGAAGAAGGTTCCGTGCAGTCTTCGCCGGAGCATTCGTATGTGCACAGCAGGAGCGAGTCAGCATCGAGCGCTGTGTCCAGCATCGATTATGCATCTGCAGCACCAGAAATCGGGGTTTCAAGAATGTCGGTTAATTACCCTTTTACCCCTCCAAACGGGGGTTCACCTTCTCTATCCGGAAAGTTCTACAACAGCTCCAAAACAATTTCAAGAATGCTCTCTTTTCCATCCTATTCGCTGCACAACGAACTCACTTCAACTCCCCACGTGGAGAAACTGGTCAACGGCTTGAGGAGTCTTTCCACCGAGGTACAAACCGCATCTGCAGGTGAATTACGTTTCCTCGCAAAGTACAACATCGAGAATCGAGTAATCATCGGCCAGTGTGGGGCCATCGCCCCCTTAATCTCGCTGCTCCACTCGGATAATGAGCTGATCCAAGAACATTCCGTAACTGCCCTTTTAAACTTATCGATCGACGAGAACATAAAATCAAGAATCGCAGAAGAAGGTGCTCTAGAACCACTTATACACGTTTTAAAAACTGGAAACACAGGGGCGAAAGAAAACGCAGCAGCTGCCCTTTTCAGCATCTCCCTATTGGACGATTACCGGGTCAAGATCGGGCGATCCGGGGCGGTAAACGGGTTGGTGGATCTTTTGAAAACGGGTACCGTTAGAGGGAAGAAAGATGCTGCCACCGCATTATTCAACCTGTCGATATTTCACGAGAATAAAGCGCGTATAGTGCAAGCTGGGGCAGTGAAGTACTTGGTGGGGCTAATGGAGCCTTGTTCGGAAATGGTGGATAAAGCGGTGGCACTTCTTGCGAATTTGTCGACTATTGTTGAAGGGTGTTCGGCTATTGCTCGAGAAGGAGGGATTCCCTTGCTTGTGGAGATTGTCGATATGGGGTCTCAAAGAGGGAAGGAGAATGCTGCTTCGATACTTTTGCAGATGTGTATAAATAATAGTAAGTATTGTAGGAGCGTTCTGCAAGAGGGGGCCGTTCCCCCTCTTGTGGCTTTGTCTCAGTCGGGCACTCCTAGGGCCAAGGAGAAGGTATGTGTGTGGCTCGGTTGTTGATCATGTTTCTTGGGGGTATTTTTGTAATTATGTCTTTCAATGAATAATATTTTTAATTTTTTTTTTTTGAATCAGGCTCAGCAACTTCTTAGTCACTTCCGGAATCAGCGTGAGAGTGCTGTGGCGAGGGGGAGATCGTGAAAAAGGGGGGAAACGAGAAGGTTCGTGTTTTATTTTTCAGGCAGAGGTTTTGAAAATATTGTTTATTTATTTATTAATTAGGGATTTGAGGTAAGTTTGTGTGAAATGCGTATAGAATTAGAACCGTTCCTTAGTAGCTCCACGGTCGATTGGGTTGTTTCTCACTGTGAGGTTTTCGATTTGTGATTCTTTGTTCTTTTTTTTACGTTTTTGTAGAGTAGTTTGTATATATATATATGTATGTGTAAGTATTTGTACTACATTTAATTTTTTAAGGTTTCTTGATGCTGGATTTGGACAAAATCGGACTGATTAGAACTTCGTGTTTCTGTAAGAATGTTTCGTCGTACGCATTTTTAGGCTATGTTTGCTCTGTTCATCTTCTTGTGCAGGCAGGGTGGAGTTACCAGGTGACTGCATATATTTGAGTTATGATATTTTTACACTAAAGTTATTTAGTATCTAATTTTAATATTGAGTTATTGAGTATCTTTTCATATTTATTTAAATCTATTTTATTCAGGGTTGTTAGATATTTAAAAAAAAACTAAAGTTTATATGTAAATACTGCACCTTTTACACTGGCTATTTGTAAATTGCAAGTGACTACTATTACTCTTTTTATGTGCATATTCAAGAAAATATTTTAAATTAAACCATTAATCATAGTACATGGTAATTCAATTATAAATTAATTAAACTTTTTTTTTCAATTTTAATTATTTTAATTTTTGTCTTGTATTGTAAGATGAACAAACATGGTATCATGGTTTGGTACTATAAAACAGCAACATACCAATAAAACGTACTTACTTTTTTGCTTTCCTATTTCCAGCCTAACAAATAAGAGCCCTCCACGTTGGCTTGTTCACAAAATTCAGACAACTCAATTGGCTGATTAATTAATCTTTGAAAAATCTTGTGGTTTATCTCCTTTTTATTTCCATTTATATTAAAAAAAATCTGGAATTAGTTCTACTTTTACAGTCTTTTAATGGAAATAGGGAGAGATAATTAATCATTTTCATGAAATTAATCACCATCATACTATTTATTGATCTCATAAATCCAGTTTCTCATATTTTTTGCAATTTCTCTATTATTTTATCAAATACAGTTATTTTTTTTATTTTTTTTATTTATAATATAGAAAAATAATATTCTCGAATCCTCTCATTAAATTCACCGCAAACCTGTATGTGTCGTCGCCACAACAACAACGAGGCACAATACTACTCTAGTAAAATTCGAATACTTTGATAAGTTTTTCTTTAAATAAAAGCGCCAATGTTCTTTAACTTATATAGGCACGAGATAAAGCTCATTCAAACCCTTGCTTGAACCTAGAAAAATCGATCTTTAGGAAACACAATCCTACACGATTCCTATAATTAATGTAGTTAAGTATCAACATACCTAATCTAAAACAATTACATGAAAATAAAACAAAGTCCTAAATAATTAAAATAAATAAATATTTGCCAATCTGTATCTCATATCTTGGCGGATTTCCTCAAAATTCTTCGTAAAAAATATGGCGCCAATAATATATATATACACACACACACACAGAAGACATTAGTATATATGTAGAAGATTTATGTAGTGTCTAATCTGAATAAATGTCATGGTCTCAGTATTTTTGCTATCTATGATTCATATATGTCACACACACACAGAAGACATGTGTGTGAAATCCATGCACATAATTTTTCTTTATGTGCAAAGGAAACACACGAAGACTATATGTGTGTGTGTGTGTGTGTGTGTGTGTGTGTGTGTGTGTGTGTGTGTGTGTGTGTGTGTGTGTGTGTGTGTGTGTTTGTGTGTGTGTGTGTGTGTGTGTGTGTGTGTGTGTTTGTGTGTGTGTGTGTGTGTGTGTGTGTGTGTGTGTGTGTGTGTGTGATTAATTTGCTGCAGTTTCAGCTCATAAAGTGGTCCGAAACAACATTGAAAACCATGTTCACATAAATTATATCCCATTTATATTTTTCTAAAATCAATATATTTTTTTTTAAAATTCAAGTACTCAATTATATAAATTGTAATATATAATTTCAAAATTGAAAATTGTGATCATCATCAGCAGTTGCTATAAAAAAAATGGACATGGTTGAAGAAGGAGTTGGATTGACACTCCATTTAGAATTTCCAACTGTTTTCAAGTCTTCCACCATAGTGTTAATTTAATTACTACAGTCTACAGTATTATCATTTATTACAGTTTAATCAATTAGTTACTCATTTGTCACTTGTGAATCTTAGGTAGTTAGTCTAGCTGCTAAATGTTTTCACAAAAATGAATTTTTAGAATTATTTATATTATATCAATTTTCGCTGCATAATTTTAATTTAATTAAAAGCTTTGAATTTAAGTTAATGATATAATTAAATTGAATTGAAAGATTTGAAATTGAAGTACAGTGTTGTTAATTAAAGAAACACAGTGATGTATATATTATTATTACCCCCTATCTTTAAACCTTTTTCCCTGTCTCCATCTCAACCTACTGTCTGCCTCTTTCCATTTTCACAAAAGCCCTAAAACTAAACTCTCTCTCTCTCTAAACTCTCTCACTCTAAAAACTCTCTTTCTCTCTCTACAAATTACAGGCAACAGATCTAACAGTTCACTAAGAAATAAGAGGTGAGTTGTTTCCCTATTTTGGGAATACAAATCTACAACAATCCACCGAGCAATATTACACTCTACCCCAACTTTTCTTTCTTACTAGTATTCATCATCAAACATCATTCATTTATATATATATTTTTTAATTTTATTACAAACAGATCTCTCTCTCTCTCTCTCTCTCTCTCTCTCTCTCTCTCTCTCTCTCTCTCTCTCTCTCTCTCTCTCTCTCTCGATCCATCCATCTATCCATCAGTCTCATCATCGATCACATTATACATATACAGATATATACAGGCGGCCCTTGTCTATTTATATATAACATCCAAACTTATTAACTAGCTACTCTTCTCTCTCTCTCTAATCCATCGATGATTTTCTCTCACTAAAATGGCATAAACATTTGATATATCAATCAAGAAAAGAAAAGAAAAAAACCCTCCTGTTTAGTAGTAGTAGTAGTAGTATGATTGTGAGTTTGATTGAGTCGTCGATCCATCAAATCAAACCCCTTCTCTATATATTTAACTCACCCTCCATCCCTTCTTCTTCACCTTTTTTTAATTCTTATTTTTCCTGCTAATTCAATCTTGTAAACCCTAGATATAGAAATGAATATAAGCAGCAGGAGCAGTTGTTAGAGATCTTTGATAAATTAAGGGATTTGAACTTTCCATTCTATTCATGGATTCTCCGGTGTTTCCAGATGTCGAGAGCTCCAACTCCGACAACAGCGCCGCCGCCGCCGCCGCCAACAGCAACAGCAACGCCGGCGCCGCCTCCTCCTCCTCGTCGGGATCCACCCTCAGCCGCTACGAGAACCAGAAGCGGCGGGACTGGAACACCTTCGGGCAGTACCTGAAGAACCACCGCCCGCCGCTGTCGCTCAGCCGCTGCAGCGGCGCACACGTGCTGGAGTTCCTCCGGTACCTCGACCAGTTCGGGAAGACGAAGGTCCACACCCCAATCTGCCCCTTCTACGGCCACCCAAACCCGCCCGCCCCCTGCCCCTGCCCCCTCCGCCAGGCCTGGGGCAGCCTCGACGCGCTCATCGGCCGCCTACGCGCCGCCTACGAGGAAAACGGCGGCAAGCCTGAGACTAACCCTTTTGGCGCCCGAGCCGTCCGCCTCTACCTCCGCGACGTTCGGGATTTGCAGTCAAAGGCTAGAGGCATCAGCTACGAGAAGAAGAAGCGGAAGCGCCCCGTCCAGCAGCCGTCCTCCGCCGCCGTGCCACCACATCCCCAACACCCCCCTGAAGGATAATTAATTAACATGCACAACCACCAGCCGCCGGATCGGAGTTATTAAACTTCGGTACCTTTTCAAGAACCTGGCCTATCCATCTATCTATATTATATATCTATATATATATGCTTCAATTAATCTTCCATATTAATTAATCTCAATCCATCCTATGTTTTCTTAATTACATATATCATATGTATGCTTAATTAGATAGTTAATTATTATTAAGGGTTAATGTTTTCATTAATCAGCTGCTAATTAAGCTAAGCTTACATTCTTGAAAAAGAAAATAAACACTGTAGCAGTACTGTAAGAAAGCATTATTAATTCAGCAGCTTCATTTCAGACCAGTCCTTCTCATAATAATAATTATTATTATCTCATTCATAATTTAATTAATTTCCTATTATCTATTTATTTATAAAAAAAAACTATATATATATATATATATATATATATATATATATATATATATATATATTCTGAGAGCACTGTTGATTTAATTGACATATATCAGTTCGAACGCGTTTAATTTGTCTTTAGCATTGAATTTCTTTTACAGCTTTTCTGATTTTTCCTGGAACTGATAGTTCATGTGGGAGTTTCTTGATTAATTAATCATCAGGGTTGTTATTTGTTAATAATAATTATTATTATTAATTTTAATTTAGTTTTAATTCAAAAATTATATATATAAATTGTAGTAGCTAGTGCTGTCATTTCAATTATGACGTAGATGAAAATGGCAGACAGACAACAGACTAGTAATAATAAATACCTAATGTATATATTTTTTCTTATATATGTATCAAATGGGAAACCCTTTTTTCTTGTTCACATTTGGTTTCAAATAATAATAATCAAATGTAGTAAGAAGAAACAAATTGAAGAAAAAAGTGGGAGAATTGAAATTCCTGAAATAGTATATATATTATTAAATTGGGGGAAAAAAAAACCTAGTTAGATCCATGTTTGTGGTAAAGGACAAGAGCAAAGCTTCAATCTTTCCCATCAACATTCCTGACACTTCTTCTTTTTTTCTCTAACATGGAGACTACCTATTATACTAGTTAAAGTTTGTGCTTAATTTGAGGATATATGTGTTTGATTTATATATAAATATATTTTTTTTTGAAAATTTATTATTGCTTTTTTTTTTTTTTTTTTTTTTTTTTTTTTTATCATTGGATGAAAAAATTGCTGTTTGGCCGACAGCAAGCATATATGATTGGCCCTTCACTTTTTAGACTTTGGTGAGAGCTTCACTTGAACTAAAACCTCACTTTGTGTTTGTGTATTGCCAACACAACTATATAGCTATCTTGACTTTCTTTTACCTTTATTTTATTTTATGGGTTTTAATTTACATGTTGTTAACATAATAATTGGATAAGTATAGCTAGTTTGTCGATGTTACACCTGTTGAAATAAATTAAGAAATTTTACGTCTTTGATCATTGTCCTTGTTCGGAAAAAAAAACCCTAACCGTGGACAATTAGAAATTGCAATTTTCATTTTTCTTAATAATTGGGTGATTAGTGCGATGTGTCTTTCGATTCAAGATTGTTTATTAAAAATGGTTATTTGAACTTATAAGTTTGTTTAACCAATTTGAACGTTCATTATCATTTGATAATACATGAAATTTGGTTTGAGCTCGAACTCGATTCTATAAGAAAATGATAACACATGTACCAAAAATCAAGTTACTTGAGGTATCAAGATTGTAAACAAAAATTAGTGGTTTTTTGGACTTTTGACACGAAGGAATAAATGCAGATATTTACTATGGATGTTTTGAACGAATTGAGTGAGTTGCTGAAAAATTATAGCCCTCTATATAGTTTTCAAGGCTTGCTCAATTTAATAGTAGTAGTCTTACTCGACTTGCTTACTAGCTACATTTCTGACTAATCTTATGATTTGAATTGCGAATTTAGAGTTCTGACTTCTGAGTATAAAATAAAAAAATTGTGATCAAGTTGAAATGAACTTTCGTTAGTTGATCTCGAATCAATCATCGGTTTATTTGATCTAGTTTTTCGGCCTTATATTCAAGGCTCCTTCAAGTTTCAAAAAAATAATAATAAATAAATAAAATAATAAAATAATAAAATAAATTAATATATATTATAATTAATTTCCGACCATAATACATGGATAAGAAGAAGGTCTAGACTAGACTTCAATTATTGGTATCAATCTGGAAACCTAATGTAATTAATAGAGGCGATAAATTAGGCAATTAATTTGTGGAAACTCATTTTCTTAAAAAAAACTTGCCATAATAAATGACTAGGCAAACAAGTCGCTGATTTCAAAGGAGAGGATCGTACGAGAATCCCGCATTCTTCGGTCAATCCGATTTGACGTGGTGGGTGGGTCCTACATTTTCGGACCCGGTCCGAATCCAAGGCATACCACGTGCAACCCTGTCACCTATGTCGGGTACAGTGCACCACTACCCATTTACCCGCTTTCCCTTCGGTTCGCTCCACTTCTAATCTTTCGTCCAAGCTCAATGAACCGGTGCCACGTGGCGAAATTCCACATTTATTGGTGTTTAATCAAAATTAGCTCTCTACTCTCCCATGAAAAAGTGAAATGAATAAAATATTAAAGCCTCGTTTGGTTAACAAGATAAAACTAATCAAAATAGTATTAAATAATCTAATGAACAATTGGTTTATTGGACTCGGAAAGGTCCAATAAAAAAACTCCATAAAACATGTGATAATTTAATTCAGAGTCGACCCGTCCGTAAAGTTATTGGGCTTACGAAATATCAAACAAAATCCAATCATTTAAGCTTATATTTTAAAATAAAAAATAAATAAGTAATAAAATTTGACACCTCGAATTACCCGTGTATACCGATTTATTATTATTATTGATTTATTGTTACAGAAAATTAAAAGAAAATGAAAAGCATGGGGGTGGGGGCCCCCCTAATTGGAGGAATGTGAACAGTACGGAAAAGGAAAAAAAAAAACACCGATTTGGTCAAGTCTTTTTCAGCCCCGAAACAGTAACAACATTCTGCCACTTCGAGCTTTGCAATTTTTTGGACTTTTTTGTTGTACGGCCGATAACCCTAATAATATTACTTATTAATTTAATCATGTCAATTTTATTAAGTTATTAATAAATTGTTTACCCTTAAATAATTAGTGTGATAATCTTATGTTATTATATGTATGTATAGTTGACAGCTGGAAAACTCTAATTTATAATTTAAATATAATATTGCCTCTAATAATAAAGAAAAAAAAAAAAGAGAGGGATTGAATCATCAAGAACACTTTGTATTAGGTCTTTAAAATTTAAGGTGTGTGTACTTTATATTAACTATGAGTTAGTAGGTTCTGGAGTTCCAGTTGAACATGATTTTCTGGTTCAACTTGTTTGTACCATCTACTACTACTTCTTGTTTCCTTTAGCAGTTTCTCTTACTAAGTATTGACTACATATTTTATTTTTACCAAACAAATTATTTTACTCAAGTACTTTCAATTTTAATGAAGCAAATAAAAATGTGGAATTAAAAATGAGTGTAACATCTAACAACCCGAGTTCGATCTTTCTTGCCAACACTTGTCGATCGCTCGTCGCACGTGATATATTTCAGTGTGCTATGTGGGCTGTTGAACGAGAGCATCAAATCATTTGTGAGATTACTCGAGATTGAATCATATACATTATTCAAGATATGTTGCTTAAAAGTCGAGACTTCGAAAACTTTGACCGACGACAATGGTTCTCTAAGGTCACTCTTATTCAGGATCCATGGTGTTTAGTGGGACATAATTAATTGGACAAATAAAAACTTGTTTTCATGTATGCATGTATATATCAACTTATCATTTTTTTATATATATTTTTGAGGTGTTTAAATTTACACCGTGGATAAAATAGCTCTCTTTCAGTAACATCATATATATTGTTGTCATAGTCTATACCCAAAGTATAAAATGGCTCTCTCTCAATGAATGATACTGCTAAAATTAATTAGGTACATATTGCAGTAGGTTCACTATCTGCTTTTGATTTTTTTTTTTATTTTTGATTTTTATTTTATTTTTTTTTAACAAAAAGAAAGAAAAAAAAACCCAGTACACACGTATGTGTGTATCAGTGTATGTGTGTGTTCAGTGTTGTACTAAGCTTCAGAAATGGTCAGCTCCTGAACAAGCGATATTTACGCTGAAACGAGGAGGGAGACTGCTGTGAGTTAATTTTCAGTTCCAATATTAATTGGAGACAACTGTGTTTTTATTTATTTATGAATCAATTTCTGATGATGTCTATTAAATCATCAGGTACTTCAGAATTCAGACGTACAATTTAAAACACGTGCGTCAATAAATGTACTACCAGGAGATTTCAGTCACACCAATTTTTTTTGTACAATTAATAGATTTCAACTTGTTGGATATTTAACAGATCACAGTTAAAACTGTTAGAATCCGAGAGGATTCTATTTCGGTTTTTCAACACGTGTGCGAAAAACGTGTATAAAAACTAGGGAAGTTTCCTTAGTTCTTTAAACTCTTATTTTGTCATTAATTTATTTAATTGCCTAAGTGTTTTATTAACAAGGAATTTAATTGACTAAGACTTTCCTTGTTTTACACAACTCTCTTTTTCTTACGTGAGATAAAATAACCTAATGGGCTCCACTTTTGTGTAGGGCTCTACTAATCCACCTAAGGAAGTATAAGAAGGGCAGCATCAACGTTATTTTAGGTTGTCCCTTTTATTTGAGAGAAAATTTATTTTCTGCTCTTCACGTTGCTGCTCTTGTGTTTGATCGTAATCGAGAAGAAAAACAGAGTAACAGATTTGCTTCTTTCACGCGAAAAGAAGATCGGTTCTTCGGGAGGAGAACTCAGAAGATCTCGGGAGGAGGTCGACCCGCCGACTGAGGGACTCAGCGTTGAAGGAATTTCAACCGTGCGGATCAAGGGACGTGCTGCAAAGTGAAGATTGTTAATTCAGCGTAGTATACAAGAACGGCGTCGACAAAGAGGGAGTCTTTGCATTTCGATTAAGTCCTATTATTGTATTCGTAAAACTAAAAATTAGTAAATTTCATTTGCAGGTCCCCGTGGATGTAGGGTACAATTGTATCCGAACCACTTTAAAATTTGTGTCTTTTTATTACTGTTCCATTAACTGTTGCAACTCTTCGTAAAACAGTAGAACCGTATTTAAAACTGAATCTGGAATTCATCGGACACAAATATATAATTAATTTGCACGAAATAATTCTAACAATTGGCATCAAGAGCCTGTCACTAAATACATCTAGTGAGATTTTGGGAACTAACTATTCTTATTTTGTGCAGATATGAATACTCAACGAGAAGTCAGATGTACGGATCGTGGATGTCGTAGAGAGAATATAAGCACTAGAATTGCTGAGAATAATGGAACGTACATTAACAAATAAGTAAAAAACCTCTATTTATATGTCGTTGATTGGGTTGAATTTACTTTGTTGGGCCCAAGCCTTATTTGAAGGTATTTGAGCTTTCGTGTAATGGTCTTTTAAATTGGGCATGCGGCCCGATAAATAAATGAATTGTAGGCCCATTGAGTCGCCCAATTAGGCATATCAGCGGCCGTACTGATTCTACAGAGTAATTTTCACAAATTCAAATTGCGGATATAAGTGCATATTGCGATTGTAAGTAGCATATTTTCACGAAACAATTACTTTGATAATTGTTTTATTGATATATGAACATGTTGGCTATTATTTGAGGTTGTACTG